TGTCACATGCTGCAGCGGTTGAAGGGTATCTACCCTGAAATTGGAGAGGTAAGTATCTCTCCACAGCCAAAATAAATTCTGGTTAAATTATATGATATTGATGGGGAGAATAAGATATCCTTCACTTGCATATTTTATTTTTTCATTTTTGGCATTTCAGTTACTAGATTGTAAACGGTTCTATCTGGCCATGAGGTTTGGTGGTTGTTTTTGTTTTAAATACATTGGCCCATCTGCCATATTAGATAGGAGATTTAGGGCCGATGCAGACCGACAGTTTAGGCTGGCCTGGGGGGTGGAGTTGGGGTGAGGCAACTGCATGCTGGCCGCCCCGACTCTGCCTGATGCTGTGCACCCGTCCGCATGGCATGCGGCATCAGGGCGCCCTCTTGGCGCAGTGTGCGCATTTTGCCACTCTTTTGGGGGTGGCAAAAAGGAGGATTGGGGCCACGGCATGTGGTTGCTGTGGTCCCGATCTGCCACTCCCAGGGGCGGACCAGAGCCACCCCTTTCAGGCCATCTGCATAGCCCCTTAGTAAGAATTTTTCACTGCTTCCTTATTATTTGTGGCTTAAGGGACTTAAAGGACTGTGATGCCTATATTGCTATAGTGTAATTTTTTATCAGAGTATTAGGGGAGAACTAATTATGTTTATCTAGGGGCTTCTACAGATGGGCCCTTGGGGCCATTCTTGAGGCAGGGATGGGGAGGGGCAGACGTATGCGTCTGCCTCAACCCCTCCCTGAAGATATCTGACGCCGCACGCTGTTATGCACGGCACACGGTGTCAGGACATCCTTCTGGCGCAGCCTTTTGATGTGCTGCTCTGGAAGGGGCAACAAAGAGCTGCACGGTGGGTCTTAGAGCGGCCTTTTGCCAGCTCTGAAAGGAGCGGCATTTTCCGGGCCAGCAAAAGGGAGGATTGAGGCCGCGATGTCCACCAGCCTCGGCCTCGATCTTCCGCTTCCCAGGGTGGCCCAGGGCCACCCGTCTGCATCCCCCTAAGTTTCCTGATAGGAGCTATCATGGCCTATGTATCTTATTGTTTAGCTGACATCATCCATAGGTTTCTAAAACAGTTGCAAAGTTCTTTTGTATTGCTGTTAAGCTGAAAGCCCAATTAACGTTTTCTTGAATTGTCTACTGCTGATTTATTTAGAAAGGTAAGCTGTGCCCCCCTCTCTCTCCATGTGTTTTTTTGTATGTGTCCTAGCTATAGAACTGATAACTGCTTAAGAGATTTATTAACGGTTGTTATTTATTGTTCAGTTTCAGTTGCTCTGGAGAATGCGTACCTATATTTTCAGGTACTTATGTTACACATCAGTCTCACTTGCTCCTTGAAAGAGCATGTCTCTCTCAATCAGTCACCAAACAAACACATTACTCTTTATGATGGTAAAAAATATTGGGGTACTTAGAGAGTTTGAATCCCTTCTTGACCATGGAAAACCACTGGGTGACCTTGGGTGAGTCACACGCTCTCAGCCTTAGAAAAACCCATGATAGTTTTGCCTTAGAGTCTTCATAAATTGGAAATAACTTGAAAGCACAGAACAACCCCAATATATCTCAAAAGTGACCTTCATGTACACTACATAGTTTCTGTGTTAAGTCACTCTATCCCAAGCATACTCTCCAAATTGAATGAAAATCAAAAATAACTGAGGGGCTGCCTCAGGGCTCCCCAATGAATTTAATGTATGGCACACAGGCTAGATTTTAAGTGAAACTATCCCAAATGTATCCTCCCAATTTTATGAATATCTGTCCAGCCATTTTATTGTGAGACAGTTACAGACAGACAGAAACTTAATTTTATTTATATAGATGTTGGTATGTAAAATTTTTGTTTTTGTTTCTCATCTTGTTGTTGACCACATGAAACAGAAATAGCATACTGAGCTGAACAGAACTGTAGCTGGGTTATAGTTATGATGGGGAGAATGAAAGTTTTTATCCAAGAAATTTACCTGATGCATTTTCACCAAGAAATATTTATTTGGTCTTCTTCAAGGGAAAAGTGTAAAATCCCTGCAGGCCAATTTTTAAAGATTCATTTCCACAGCTAATATGTGTCAGAGATGAAATATTTAACAGCACTGAGGAAAGCCTTATAAATATTTTTTAATCGAAATGCATTAGGCTAATTTCTGGAATAATATCTTTTTTTTTTACATTGGTCTTCCCTTTATAACAGGTTTTACTGAATATTTCTGGTCTTTTTTGCTTTTGTGATGTGACCTTGGCCAGATGTTTTGAATTTTTATTACCCCATTCCATAAGAAGCTTAAACAGCTTTGTGTATGGAGTGTGTACAATATTTTCAATCACTGTCCCAAAATCTTAGGAGCCCCCTCCTTGTGGCTTTTGCTAAGACCATAATGAGCTTTGACATATAACCCCCAGCTGACATTGTGTGTCTGTTGTTGCTGTATGCATCTTATTTTATTTTGTAAACTTAATTTTACGAAGTGAAGTCATGCAAATGTATATATTTAAATGCCTGCCAGGCTGAGCTCTTCAGTTTGGCTTTATATGGTTACAAAGAACAGAGTTTTCCTAAAATTTGTACTGAGTTAATAATGCAGCAACTGTATAAGCACTTTATTCTCTAGCAATACCCTGTTTTCCTCATTGAGAAGTTTTATTACTAGGGGTAATCCAGAACATTTCTTGAGAGGTTGTGTGTGCTTGCTATTTGTACAGCCAAGTACAATGTTCTTACCTGTGGTTTCTTTCACTCCTCTCTGGTTTCCATTTGCATTTTCTTTCCTTTCTTTCTGTGGTTGGACCTGGCATTGCTGCATGTCTGGGGGCAATTTAAACAGAGATCCTTACAAAATGAATACCAGAAATAGGAACCAAGATACAGAGGCAGAGTTAGAGTAACACAAGGATTGTCAGGGATGTGAAAGACCAGTGTTCCCATGTATCTTTTCACAGAGTCCAATGCCAGATTTTTTTTAATATTAAGAAAGAATTTTTTTTCCTACACTCAAAATAATATGGGCACCCCACCTATGGTGCAGTTAGTAAGGTTTCTGCAATTTTTAATATTGAGAATCAACAGGTGCTCTGCAGAATATTGTAACAACATGATCCTCAACTATAAGAGCTTATAAAATCAAGTTGCCTTCTTAAGATCACTTAACACAGATTAATTGTTCTTTAGGATGTTTTAACGTTCACAGAGTGATAAGAAGTTCCTCTGATCTTTCAGTATGTGTAGATGCATATGGATGACTTTGAAGAGTCTGGTTATTGAATGTGGATCTTTCACATATTTGTCCTTTTAGACCAGAGATCTCCCAACTTTTTGGAGCACATTTAGAATTTTGAGAGAGTGTTATGACTGCTGACAAAAATTGGCTGGTGGCATGAGGATGGTGCTTACCTATTCACAAAATGAATATGAGATTATGGTTCTGGCTAATGACAAAAGATGCATTTTCCAGGAAGCAAATGCGAAAAGTAAAAAAAAAAAAAAAAAAGAAAAAAAGAAAAAGAAAAAGAAAAAGAAAGAAAAGTTCCAGAATCTAGGAACAAGACAGAGGTGAAAGTCAAAGATTCAAAACACAAAATGACTCCTTACTTTCATTTTTCTGTTCCCGTACCTAGAATGTAAACTGATGAGGTACAGAGACAAGTAACTTGGCCAAGAAACTGACAGGAAGCCTGAGCCCAGATATCAAATACAGTTGCCACTTCTTATCAACAGATTCTTTATCCATGGATTCAAGCATCCACAGCTTGAACATATTAAAAGAATCCATGTCAATGGACTGAATTTGATGATAACTGTAGTTGCTCTTATATATCCTGAGAAACTGACTATAATTCTTGTAGTGCTGAACCATCAACTTTTTTAAAGGATAGGGTTATAACCTAAAAGAGTGTCACACTGGACATCACTGACTTGACTAAAGGTTTAAAGCCATAAGGCAAACTAGTGTGAATAATACCTATCCTCTAGGTTTGCTCACTGGCCTACAGACAAGCTGGACTGAAGATCAGTTGAGCCACACAACAAGAAGAAAATCTCAGCCAAGATAGCCACTGAAAAACTGCTTCCCCTTTGTCTGTTTCCACACTGGCTCAGTTTGGTGGAAAGCTCTGACCATTACTTCCCACATAGGCTTCCCTAGCACTGATGACTCAATGCCTCGATTTTATTTTATTTTACCATAATTTTGCATGGGAAATTAATACATTATTATTGTTTCCTAAATGATCAGAGCTACCCAACTTACCAATGCTAGGTTGAATCAAACCACAGAGAAGTGGTTTTTCATGTTTTTTCACCTTGGTAACATAGGGTGACGTATCAACTGGATTCAAAGACAAGGCTGAGGAAGGTTATTTTATTTATTTTGGAGCACAACTTCCTAAATTCCCTAAGCATCACAGCTCTGTGGGTTGTAGTTTAAATGGCTGCTGTCCCAAGTTATGTCAAGTCTCTAGCATCACCAAGAAAGTCAGCTTCCCTGCGGAATTTTTAGGTACTCAGAGAAAGCAGATGCAAAGCCCTGAAGTGTAAACTACAGTTCATGTTGTGTGTCTAGCTGTGCACATATACACTAAAGACTATTCACACTGAAGAACAGGAGGTGTTGGATGTGTGTTTCCAGTAAACAAGCTTCTCGTCAGCCATCAATATAATATTTTTTCCTGCCTTCTGCTTACCAATAACTACATATTTAAACCAAATTCTATCCTGTTCTATCCTCTTTTATCTTCTTTCTGCCTTCCATAATTAACTACTCTTGTGCCACACTGGCACTATGGGTACCACTAAACCTATGGACACCTCACTTGGCACCCATTAGCCTCCTTGCTATGCCTAATATTTGCTTCTCTTTTAAGTATGTTCACCCCTGAAGCTAATGAGGGTCCCATTTGGGGTTTTCTTGGCAAGATTTGTTCAGAGTGGGTTTGCCTTTGCCTTCCTCTGAGACTGAGGGAGTGTGACTGAAGGAAACCCACTAGTGGGTTTTCATGGTTGAGCAGAGATTCGAACCCTGGTCTCTAGAGTCATAGTCTAATGCTCAAACCACTACATCACAATGACTCTAGGTGTGGAAAAGTAGCTAAAGGGGGTGTCTGGAGAAGTTGGAGGGGGAGCAGGCTTGTCTAAAAAAAGTGAAGACAAATAAAAGAATGATGAATGGATTGTGAAAAATCCCTCTGTTGTATTAAAAGTCCAGACTCCTAGCTTTCATAAGTTTACTGTCTTTCTGGGATGTTCAGAATGCCATGTGACACATATTGGTTACCTTTGAAAATAGGTCAGAACCAAAAATACAAATTACATGCTGGGGTGAATTTTGAAATCCTTTAAAAAAATAACTCTGGCAAAGTTTTTTCTCTCTCATTAAAAGTAAACCAACCCAAAACATAAAGTGGAAGACTTCTTTCTTCGGTTTTCTTGTGGTGTCCCTTGAGAATGAGACAGACAGGTAAGGGACTGAGAAAAATACAGTGTGTCTTCTAGGAAAGAATTTCAATAATAAATAGATATGACACATCCCCCCCCCCCGGAGGCTTTTTCTTTTTCATTAAGGCTTCCACTTCTAATGTTTCAGAGCTGGATTTCTGGAGAAGGAAGGCATCATTGGGGTAAGCTGCAACTACATGGTTTGTAATGTTGTCGTTGCAATATGCTTCCAGACAGATTGCGCAGTCTTGGCTGCTAATCTGCCAATAACAAACATGGATTTGTTTGCCTATATGTGTATAGGGCATGCTCAATATAGCACCACTTTGGGTGGTTTGTGTTTAGGTCATTGCAGCCAAGTGTTGCTATGGTAATGTGATCACAATGGGCGAGGTTGGGTTCAAAGGCAAATTAATCCTTTGGAGCCAAGCAACTGCTGTAACTGAGCACCACTAAGAGAGCATGGCAGAGTATATTTAGGGTCAATGTACATCTGATATGCTGTCCAAGCTTCATGTCATAGTAATAGAAGAATGTGAATGTGCAGCAGCACTTTTATTGTTGGCTGCCAGACTTTGGCTGGTAGGCTGATGATTATGATACAAAGGATGAAATCCAGTCGCTTCTACCAGACAACTCTTTTACAAACATGTCCAGTGGGATGACCAATGGCTAGCCACAGGCAGACTCTTTCCACATATGGATAAAACCCAGATCTGTCCCCAGCCATGAGGCATTCTTGCAGTTGCAGAAGCTAAAGTCTAATTAAGCATGAAAAGTCTTAACTGGAATGTGTAGCAGCCTGAGGTACGGCCTGCAAACAGGATAATTTCTCCAGCCATTGCAAGGCATAAGTGTGTAATTATGCTATTAGTGTTTCATTACTTAAAAGTATATTTCTCTGCTGATTAATACTGGTTGATATCCAGACAAGGATCAAGGGGAAAATAGTTTGGATTAAATTAAAATACAAATAAATGGCTCTGACTTTTACTTCCAGGTTCTGCAGCCCCTCAGATTTAAATACAAAATATTGTGTCAACAGTAATGAAAGGATCCACAGAGAACATTTCCTAATATCAGTGGGGGCTTGAAAGTGGTATTCATGCGAACCATTCTTGGTGTCACTGAGCTCCCTGCAACTCATGTTTTAAAACAAATGTCAACGACAAAGTCCTGTTCTCCAGGTCTATTGCCATGTTGAAGAATGCCTCTGAGCCATGAGGTGATCATGGAAGTTAAAAATGACATGTACCCAGCCATTTAGATTTTAAAAATAGCAATAGCATTTACATTTCTATACTGTTCATAGTGAACTCAGCATTCTGTAAGTGGTTTACAATCTGTAAGCCAATTGCCCCCAACAAGCTGGGTACTCATTTTACCAACCTAAAAAAGAATGGAAGGCTGAGTCAACCTTGAAGCCCTGGGATCGAAGTCATAGCCTTGTGGTTGCAGTACTGGCACATAAACACTGTACCACCAAACTCTCTGAACTCTCTGAAAAGGACAAACTGTCTGAAAAGGACAACTTGGAACTATGAGGAAGCATATGTGAGGCTAGAGGGGCTTCCTAGTCCTGATCCCTGCCTCTGTGTTGTATTCATTGGAATGGCTTCTGCGTGGCTTACTTTCTTTGCTGTCTGTGAAATGGGTGTTAGAGCAGAGAACTGGGGTTTCGAAGCACTGGTGTTTTTTTGGGTGTGTGTTGTATCTCACCACTGCCTTCCACTTAGGTTCTTGGCCATGTTACTTTTCTTTTAGTTGTCTGGGAAATGGGAGCTTGACTAGCCATGCTCATTTTATGGCAGATGTTCAAGTCCACAAGAGAGCAAAACATTTTATTGAGTTTCATTTACACATACTGACCATGACTATTATTGATTATCTGTGTTATTTTGACATTTCCTTCGAGCTCCCCAATCCTTTTAAAAATTTATTACTTTTTTAATTACATTTTTTGGGAACCCCCCCTCCCCTTTTACTAGATGTTGAGTTCAGGTTTACTTCCTAGTTTTTTGTTGTTGTTTTTTTTTAAAAAACCTTTAAAACAGAAATGAAGTAGCTCTATAAACCAGCTGGATAGAAGAGACCTAAGAGTTTACTTGGAACAATCTGGAGGATGTTTGGGTTGTAGGTTTGAGTGAACATGTGAGGAAAGATCAGAGGAACATGTATAGCCTGAGGGAAAGAACTTTTGTGGTATGCCAGGCAGATGTCAAAGTCATGCTGGGTTTACAGTTATGTCCAGGAATTACATTGTTTATAATGATGTGCAGGAATTGTTATATCTGTTGATGGATGGGCAAAGCAATGGGCATACCTGGTAGGCAGTGACAATAAGATTAAATTTAGGAAATATATCTCAGACTATAAGTAATGGAAGGAAGTGCTTGCCTGGGGAGATTCTTGTATTTCCTTTCTTGGAGATATTCAAGAACCTGCTACGTAGCAATGCATTTGGAGAATAATTTAGATTGGGATCTGTATGTAGCCTTCTGCCTTCATTTTATTTATACACAGCATTTGGAATACCTTTTTAGGAATTCTTGCAAATACTGCTTCATGATGTTTTCAATATGTTCCCTGTTTGTTGGTGAGTTTTGTTTTGAGGGGCCAATTAATTAAGTTAAATTGATTTCTTCTCTCTATTTATTGCAGTTCCATCTCCCTTCCTTCCCATGCCTTGAATTCTAAATGGCAAGCTTGGTGGCACAGGGATCTACTTGGTGTGTCTTACTTCTAGGCTTCTCAGAAGCATCTAATTCATCTCTGTTGGAAATAATATCTTAGATTAGAAACCCCTCAGTTCTTGGTGTCCAACATGGCTCTTCCTAAGTTTTTAGGACTTCTGTCTACTCCGTAAAATTTCATGTACATTAGTGTTTGAAAATGAATTAATAACAAAAATTGCATGCAAATGTTTTATACAGAAGGGGAAGATGGGAGGATAATGGCTACCAGTGCAGTGTAGTGGTTTGAGTGCTGGCCTAGGACTCTGGAGACCAAATCCTTGCTCAGCCATGGAATCCTACTGGGTGACATTGGGCAAGTCATACTCTTTCAGCCTTAGAGGAAGACAATGGCAAACTCACTCTGAACAAATCTTGTCAAGACCCCCCTGTGATAGGTTTACCTTAGGATTACCATGAGTTGACATGAAGTCACACAATAACAAAAACCCTTCCTCACTGGATGTTTTTGCACTGCAAATTCCCCTTAACTGTTTTTTTTTTTTTAGGGTCAGGAAGAATACTCATTATTATTTGCATTTCTTTATTTAAAAAAGGGTGTCCTGGTATTCAGATGTCCTGCTAAGGAAAAGGAGAATAGTTGTGAAATTCTTCACTCTTCATCTCTTAGTTTGGGGAAATTTGTTTGTGCAAATGCTTTGCCATTATACACCTTCAAGTCAACTCTAGTGTTGATTATCATCTTTGCATCTAGGTTACCTACAGCAGGGATAGGCAACCTTTCCCCTTTAAGGGCCAAGGGACTTCAGCTCCCAGAAGCCTCAGCCATGTTGGCCAATAGTCCCATGTTGGCCAATAGCTCCTGGGATTCTGGGAGCTGAAGTCCCTCGGCCCTTAAAGGGGAAAGGTTGCCTACCCCTGACCTACAGGATTGCTTCCTCTCATATGATCTGCCCTGTATATTCAGGTCTTCTGGTGAACATTTACTCCAGTCAGCTAGGACTAGGTTGGTGAGTGTCAGCCAGAGGATTTTTTCTTCAGCTGTCCCTAGATTGTGGAATGGCCTGTCGGAAGAGATTCAACATCTGAATATACTGTCCAAATTTAATAGAGCATTAAAGACCAGTTTCTTCCACTAGGTTTATCCAGATCATTTTTAAATTGTGAATTTTAAATTATGAATTTTAAATGTGGATTTTTTAAAAATATGGATTGTTTGTCTTTTTAAATTGATGAATGTTTTAAGTGATGTCTTTTAACTGATGCTGTTCATCTGTTAATTGTTGTTGTTCCCCACCTCAATCTATAGGGAGAGGTGGATAAGAGATGATGATGATGATGGCAATCCTGTGCTGGGTTTTCTTGGCAAGATTCCTTCAGAGCAGGTTTGACATTGCTTTCCTTTGAGGCTGAGAGAACTTTCCTTGGCTGGGCAAGTATTCAAACCTTGGTGTCTTAGAATTCTAGCCCAAAATTCAGAATTCAAATTCAAACCATACTGCATATATTGACTATCATTGTACAAATAATTTTTCTTTACCACTGTGTCCATGAAAAAACACATTTTTTTTGTTAGGAATTTCATGTCTGCTCAGTTTGTACAATTTGTGTAAATCTGTACAAATACGGTGATTCTTGCCACAAAATGTTTTCTGCCCCAAAGCACATTCTCATCTCAGAAAAATAATCCTGTACAGGTATTTTTGTGCAAGCAACTTTTTCTTAGTGAAGGAAGTCCTATGGAATGAATAGGGCTTGATAATCATTCAGAATTTTTCATATTCATGGAAAATGGAGAGAAAATTGTTTAAGTTCTTTGTTATTTTGTGCAGTAACAAACTATGTGAAGGTTTACATCCCTCTGTTACCCATTTGAAGTTTAAAGTATGTACATGCAATGGCAAAAGAAAAGTTACTGAGGCAATATGTGGTGGAAAAACA